TTAATATACCTGTGTCCTGGCTGTTAAATTGATGTTTAAACGAACGATTAAAATACTATCGTTTAATGCACATTATTTGCGTAAGACCGACATTAACCCGTTACAACATCCGACCACCCTCGACACACTAAAGTCTTCAACGTAGTTTTCTTAACCATGTCAAACATATGCTTTCCTCCATATGTATCTTTACACCATGAAACACGTTCGTGGTTATTGACTAAATAGCATTAATAATAAGACTCTGTGTCATGATTGTAGAGGTATCGAATCGCGTTCCGAACGTTCTGTTATCATGCCAGCATACAGCTCTACGTCATCGACGCTTTTGTACAAATTTTCAATTATTAGTAGTTTGTCCGTTTTGGTCAACTGAGTAAAACTATCATAGTGCGTAGCCCAAATCGTTCCGATAATTATTAAAACTTGTACAGCGTGTTTCGACAACTTCAACAAAACTCAGTCAACGGTTTCGTCTCGGTCCGTCGTTGTGAGCTGTTACCCTACCCATAGGTTGACTGACCATAAATTGTAACGTATTTTAAACCTCCGACAACACTTGTCAAATTATTTACAGATTAATTTGAATACTACAAGATAAATAAATATAAAGATATATATATTTATTATTTATATTGCATCGAAATCGTTTTAATCCATGTGACTTGAGCACCTGTTCTACACTTAAACTCCCTTCTAAAACCTAATGTAGGTTTTATACTAAAAGATTTTATTCGGCGTGAATTTTATAATACTAACTTAATGGTTTATTACGCAATAACATAGAAAACATATTTCTTAAAGTTTAATGACGAATTTATTTTTTATTTGAATATTTTACCCAATGATGATATTATAACTACAAATTATGGTTCATATAGGATCGTATATAGTATTCGAGTGTAGAATAATATTGCATGTCATATATTTAATTTAATTCTTGAATACTTTGCTCTATGGTGTAATTATTAAATTTAAAATAACTTTGTTCTAATATAGTACCTGTTTTAAACAAAGCACACTAGTTTTTAAACAGTTTAAACAATACTTTATTTAAAACATAAAATATCCTAATGATCTACAAAATAACTTACATTGAGTACCTACATCCTGCAAAATCAGCATAAGTGTATTTTAATGCGAATTTTCCAATAAAGTATGAACTTACCCGTTGTCACCAAAACATTGAACCTATATAGGATTCTGTTAAATTGCTCCGGTAGACTGAAACAGCCATCATTAAAATAAGTTCAATCATGTTGAACCATTAATGTTTTGGATTCGGTGTCATAAACTTGGTCTGAGCTTAACGGATAAGCAATACGCAACTGAACGAAGCATACCGGGGAATATACATTTTTTCCATTATACGTTTTATTAATGGATAAGTTGGATTCTATTATAATAATAAAGTTTTATGTACCTAAATATCATACACATTTTTTTATAATAATATTTTCTATCTCAGTAATTTAAGGAGGAAATCAAAAATGAAACAAAATACACATTTAAAGTTATTAACTCCGAATAATAATTCTGTTAATTTACTATCTCAAGCCTTCTATCAATACTTTATTTTACAATTTTTCGATTCTGATTTCAAATTAACGGTTTTTAACACAACAATATCATATACAACGTACGCGTTAAAAACAGTGGTGAATTTGCATATATATTAATAGAGGGAGCGGGGGTATACGTACTACTAAAATATCTATTTTCAACCTAAAAATTTTTTTCTTGCTGCGCTCGAATATTTTTCTCACTTATCGTTACGCTAGAAAAAATTAAGCTGATCCCTTACATCATGTTTGCAACTATTAACTTCAAATGTAGGTATTACTATAAAATTAAAGACTGGTAACTTTAAGTATCAATGTCTCCTTATTCGACAAACATTGTTATCTTATTATATTACATATATTCTTATTTCAATATTGTGTCATCACAATATTCACAATTCAAAACAGTAAACGATTTTTAAATGAAATTTTTTTGAGTATTTTTACTATTCATAGTTTTATAATAAATTAATAACGTTCATTAATATATTATGAAGATTACGTACATTAAATTTCGACGTATGCATATACAACAACGAAAGTACCCGTCATCGTAAAATGTGACCATAAAACCCTAAGAGCTGTACAGTTGTAAATAGGAGGAGACATAAAAAACGAATTAGAAGATGCCCAAACCAGCGTTTGCGTGTTGCAGTGACAGGTACACGAAAACCTGGCGTTTCATTGAGCGTAAAATCTGGTCTAAAAAACTATATAAAATATATATTATCTGTGTCAACACGACCCATTGGCACGATAAAAATAAATGGATCATAACAAGGTTTTTATGGTTTAAAATTATAAACATTTAAATACTAGAAATTGTTGTTTAATCGATTTCGTCAAACGCTGGTTAGAAACGCGCGAGAGAACGACGATGGCACATTAAAACGGTAGAAACCGCGATCTCCCACGATGAAAACATAACATAAAAATAATAGTTATTAGAAAAAAGTGCTATAGGTAGGTGTATACGAGTATAATATATAAACAAGTTTATATTGAAAAAAACAATATAGTGGTCTGTTAACTTTGTGAGTTGCCTTATGACACAGATAAATGATCAATACAAAGTAGTTATACACAGTGCTTTAAAATTTTACAGTTTTAATACAATTTAGTGAATTTACACAGACATTTTTTTTTTTTATTTATAAGATAAAAATTAATAAAATATAAGGTATATCTCGAAACTGGTCGCTAGTATTGAGCATAATACACAATATTTTATTCGACACAAGGAAATAAAATAAAATATACCAATAATTATTGACGTTCAAATAATCGTTTGTTCTAGAAACTGAAAAAAAAAATTTAAAAATAAAAATCATTATGTTGAACGCAAATATTTACGTAATCAGTACTATATTTTAATGGAATACAACTTATCCATTATTGATTAATAAAACGTAGGTATATGGAGAAAAATTAATATTCTCCTGAAACAAAAATATTTTGTATATTATGGTGATTGCGTATTGATACAATTTTAGACATTTAATGACAATCCCCAGTGTTTTAATATATAGTATAATATTATTAGCTTTTAGCTATATAATGTACTTCTATATATTATTATTTTGTTTTTTTATTCTATTATATAATATTATGTCTTTCCTGCGGTGTCAACCTAACAATTAAACACATCATGACCGAGTGTTACACATACCGCGACGCAAGGGACGGCAACCAATTATCGGAAGACCTATTTGAATGCCTTGGACCTAACCTGCCAGTCTCCAACATAATCGCCTTCCTTCAATAAACTGGACTGTTCAAATTAATTTAAGCTTCCTCTTTCATTGTATAATATACTAAATTTATAACCCCCCTTTTTTTTTGTCTTCTCTTATGATCTACCTCCCAATACATAACATTCTGTAATTTATATATATCGCCCAATGGCCCTGATGCCGAGTGTTTATCTATTTTTAATAAAAAAAAATATACATATACATATAACTATTATGTTTTGTTACACGTGACTACGGTATTGTTTATTATAATACATCCTTGGTTCGATTGAGACTTTATTATATCATTGTATTTTCGTTATTGCTACAGCGAGCATACACGCGTTTAAATAATACCGATCTGTTATATTTTCAGTTCATATTATTACAAATACTTACGATTCAAGTTTATTAAGACATTGATCATGTTGTTTCCCTTCAACTATGTTAAAATGTTGAAAACGTTTTGTAAGTACAGAATATATTTATTATAACATTTCGTAATGATATTATGAAGCTGTACAACGGCGCTACTATAATATAAGTTTCGAAAAACGAATGAGCCTGCGCGCAAATATTTTTAATGAAGTCTCGAGTACGAATTGTTTCTAATATTTTGCGAGTTGCTACCGAAATCACGGACGCCAGCCTAGTCCGTGTCACCGCAATTTGCTGTCACTGCATTTTATTCGTTGTACGTGAAAATTAATACGTCGTTTTGTTTTCAGTCAAATCTCCGTATTGGATCATAGCGCTGTTTTTTGTATCAATGATTATGACCGTTTCATACGAAAGCTATAGAAAAAGTGAGTACATTCCCGAAAAACGAGTCATCTTCAAGACAATAACAACTAAAAAATATTTTTTCAAAACAAAATTAGGCCATGCATCTTATTTGACGTTTAATTTACGCGTGAGTCCTATTATTGACATGACATACTGTTCTGCGTTTTAGATAAAGTAAGAGAGATTTACGAGAAACAACTAAAGATATGTAACGCATTTGACAATCATCGATGCGAAAACGGTGGGCTACTAGAATACAGTGAGGCAAAGGGTTTTACATGCAAGTGCCCTCGAAACTACATTGGAAAAACCTGCGAGGAACGTACGTATATTTATTGTACATTAACGTGAAATGACCAAAAAAAAAAAAAAAAATAAAAAAAATATCGGTTCCTACGCAAATGTTGCAATTATTTACAACTTTGTAATGATATGATAAAATTTATTAAATTTCATAATATCTTTTTCAATTCGCAGTGAAACCCGTCACATTCATTTCGATGATATTGTCGTGGATCCGACAATTAGACGTAGAATTTGGCATGCCAACGAATTGGTGGCATTTAATTCCTTTTACTTCAGAGCGTCAGTTGGCATACGTTTACGCTTGTAAGTAATATAATAATATAAAAGATAATGTTAGATTTGTTGGCATAATTTTTATACAATAACTAGAAAAATTGACGTTAAGAATTATGATATTTAAGGTATATATTTTAATTTTATATTAAAATATGAAACGAAATTTAATTGTCCAAAATAATTTTGGATTATTTAGAGTTAACTTTATTCAATTTTGAAAAATAATAAATATATTATTATATCAGAATGACGAGTACTCATAATCAATACAAAATTCTTTCATCTGTCGAATTAACATAATATAAAATTAACAACAATTCATTAACATGCAGTCGATTGAGTTTCAATAATAGCTAAATAAAATATTATTTTGGTTTTTGTAAAAAATTACTATTTTTTAAATAGTAATTTAAAAAATAGTAAAAAAAAAATAAAATACTAATTTTTTTTTTTTTTTTTATTAATTAGCGTACTCATTTTAATTTGGTATGCTTAAATCGTTTTAAAACAGTTTTTTAAATGTAATAGAAAATACCTCTAACAATATAGTATTCTGTTATAATATCATATTATTCATATTACGTGTCATGTATTCAAGTAATGGATTTTGTATTTTATTTGAATTAGTTACTGCAATCACATAATTCATTTATTTTTATATTAGTCCATCAGAGTGTATTGAAAAGCTTGGAAGACGCATTTTATGATTCCGACAACGATACAAACGGACACAACATCAACGGGAGAATATTACCACGTTCGCGTCCATTGATGTGTCCAAACAACAGTAAATATTCTCTCGCTACATATAATAATCTAAAATAAACTGATTGATTTCATAAACGTATAATCTTGAATAAGAGTATTATTGTCGTTTATCAACGTATTCGGATGCAGTGTTATCAATACTTTAATTTTTTGCAGACAATTTACCGCCGCTTAATTTATTGTACACCGACATCTTTGAACGCCAATCTGGCCAGTTCAAACCGGATTTGGAAAACCGCAATTTACTATTTCAAGCCTTCTACCAATACTTTATTTTACAATTTTTCGACTCTGATTCCAAATTAACGGTTTGTAATACAATAATATCATAAATAACGTACGCGTTAAAAAGAACATTATAAGCAAAAAATTCACGTTGTGTTTACTGTTTATGTAATAGATAACGGCTTCCCAATTATATGGCAGAGACTCAGTTACAGAAAAATCTTTGAGATCGTTCTCCGATGGTAAACTTAAGACACAGTACATTAATAACGAACATTATGCGCTATACACGTCACCCAAAATACACTCGAACGTACATCGACGAGAATATCTCAAATCGACGGATGGCATTTCGACCATGGTGAGTAACTTTATTTGAATTTTGCCATTAACTCAGATAAAATTGTTCTTAATCTTTATAAATTATAAACAGAATAGCTTAATTATTTAAAACTATACAGGGTAAGTTATCATGAAAGTTAGGTAACTTTAACAGTATTAACATTTTTCAAAATTTTTTTTGTGTAATGATTTCAAATTAATGAAAAAAATAAAATAAAAATATTATCAAAGTCGTTAATATTCTAAGATTTATTGAGGTTCAAGTGATTACTGTAAAATAATTCACCGGTCATACTTATTTTTGTGTAATATTTAAACGGAATGTCACAACCGAAGATTTCAAGCATGAACCCGATGCTTTTCGCGGTGTCAACACTTTGGGTGCGTGAACACAACCGCGTTTGTGACATGCTGTCACTGGTATCGTCACCCAGTTGGACAGACGAACAGATCTATAAGACGGCCAGAAAAATTGTTACTAGCCAGATGATGGTAGTAATGATGAACGAAATTTTAAAAGTGCAAACAGGACATCGGTATTCAATCAAGTTCAGACCGGAAGCTTATCACCACCGAATACAAAACATCAGTAGCTCCGCCATGCCAATTGAACTAATTTTGATGATGGCCGTATCAAATTTACCGGAACAGTTCAATGGAAATCCAATATCTAGGGGTGACAACAGGTAAGTTCGCAATTTTTCGTGGAAACACTTACAGTTTAAAATACAATGTATACAGGATGTATATAACATATTGTATACATTCATGTTATTTTTAAACAAAATATCGTTTAAACTGTTTAAAGCAGGTATTCATAATACTATAGTATGCTGTATAATTAAATAATACAAGCATATGGTATTAGAATAAAAAGTTATTTTCAAGTACAATACTAAGAAAATTACACTATAGGTAAATTGTTCAAGTAAAGTAATTAATTAAAAATATTACAAGCAGTATCTTCACTATACCTGTCGGTAACAGCCTACGATCCTACAAACTTTTTAATTCGCAGTCACAATATCTACGTGTGGTCACGACGTCAAATAAAAAATATAGTTCATCATTAAACTTTAAGAAATATATGTTTTTCTAAGTGTAATAATACGCAATGCGTTTTAAATTACGTATATACATTATCCCGTTTAAAAATTCTTTAGAATAAAACCTACATTAGAGTGTTTAGTACCGGTGTGATTGGGCTAGAGCAGGTGCTCCAAGTCACATGAATTAAACCGATTTCGATGTTATAATATAAATATATATGTATCTTGTATATGTATTTAAATCAATCTGTAAATACTTTTAGACAAGTGTTGGATGTGGGTTTAAAAAATACGCTGCAGTTCATGATCAGCCAACCTATGGGCAGGCTAACAGCTCACAACGACGGATCCGTGACGCGACCGTTGACTGAGATCTTGATGAAGCTTTCCCGAGAACATTCTGTGCAGAGTTTTAATAACTATCGGAGACGATTTGGGCTACCTAAATACGACAGCTTTTACCATCTGACCAATAACTGGAAAACCGCTAATGGATTAAACTATTTGTACAAAAACGTAGATGACGTGGATTTGTTGACCGGCGTGATGACAGAAAGATCGAGAATCGGGTCGCTGCCCACCTCCACAATCGTGACACACAGTTTCATTGTAAATGCTATTTTAACCAATGGCCTTACAAGTGAACATTCGTGGAAATCAGATACGTTCGGAGGAGAGCAATTTTTCGATATGGTAAAGTCCACAACATTGAGGTCGTTAGTATGTCGGAACTTGATCGACTATTGCGACGGGTTAAATGTCGGTCTTTACACAAAATAAGTGTACCTATATAATATTATTGTATTTATGAGCGTTTAATAAACATCGTTTTGATAACCAATACGCATTATGTTAAATATAATATTTTTCTAGTAGTTATTTTTTGATTTTTTTTTGATGTGAAACATCTTATGGCGCGGTACAGTAGTGAGACCGACTATGGCGTGGCGACGCCCCACTCGTAGCTCGTCGGCTCAATTTTCCGAAGCTCGCCGATTTCCTCTCTATGTGCCCAGTATCGGATTATCTATGTTTATACGATTTATAAACGTATAATATTATGTACACCCATATTTTTATAATAACTTGATTGTATATTACGTTGATTATATTGTTCCGTGTATGTATATTGAATATTATGTTGTTTTAAAATAAACAAAAAATATTACAAATATAATGGAACGAGACAGTACACCGCCGCCAGAAAAAAGAATTAAATTTCAAGTTAACCATCATGCAGGTCGGAGTGAAATATCTCCGTCATGTGCTTTTGATGTTTATCCCGATTCACAATTTACTGATTCGAGCCAAGGGTTAGTTTGTTTATTTTAATAAGACTGATCTCTGTATAACTTCGTCATAATATTACAAGATAGTGAAGAAGTAAAATATTAATTAGATTAATAGATATTAGTTATAAATTATGTTTATGACTTAATATGGTTAGTCAACGAAATATGATAAGTGGTATTCGACGATGTGCATGTGCGTGTCGAAAAAATACTTTTGTTTAATAATTATATATCAATATATTAAATATATTATATTATATATGATATAAATATATTATAATATATTATTTATATATATTGTTTTATATCATAACAGTGCTCTTAGTAAAAAAGGTCGGCAACAACGATACAGGGAACAGCACCGTGAAGAACTAAAACAACTTGAAGCAGAAAGACGGAAACGTAAACAAAATAGTTTTATGATATTAATCTAGAAATTATTTCAGTCATCTTATTCACCATCTATTTTCAACATTATTACAAAAAAAAAATGTTGATGTTTCACATCTGCCAGGCGTCCCGCGACGGCTCAGGTTTTTTTCTGATTAATCAATTATTCTTTACACAACTTGTACAGGAATCGCTAATCTTTAATATTTTATTAGGTATTTGAATTATGTGTATTTTATATTATGGAAATTCGTTATAATATTGGGACTAAGAACCACCATCGTTATTATTATACTGGAACATTAACCACCGCGGGTTTTTTTTTTTTGTTATTACATTGTTATGTCTTATAGTGATATTTTTTATACGTTATACTATATCGGCTTTTATGCAAAGATAACTAAATTATTAATTTAGTATTTACCTACAGGTATTGGCAAAGCAGTATATACTTGTTGACATTTTGTGAGTAGCTGTGTAATTATTATTCTATTGTTATAAATAGCAATAGCTGCTATAATTAAAAATTGTTTTTAATATATAATAGTCAAAAAGTGTGTTGGTGCTTTATTATCATTAGTCTTGACAGTCGATCGCTATCAAATCAGATAAATTCGCGAACAGACCTTTTTAGCCATCTGTCGAAAATAACAATTTGCCATTTTACTGGTTACTGAGACCAATATATCGTCAAGATTAGCGCCAAAACCACCCGATTTTCATAAATATGTTTTAATTCAATAAAATTAATTGTTATATAATTTAAAAAATTAATACATAAAATAAGTAATCAAAAAATCTCGTGTACCTATTCATTTTTTTTTTTTTTATTTGTTTTTGGATAAAAACTTTCACTGTTTGATTCGAACATATTTGGTCCTTCGAAAATGAAGTTTGTGCAATTTCAGTTTGGTATCAACTAATGGAAGACATAAACGCCAAAATGAGATAAGAACATAAAAAAAACGTATCGTACGAAAGCGCCAAAAGCCTAGCTAGCTTAGGTAGACTATTTAAATTTAAAACTAAGTATATCGTTTAAAAACTCCAAACTTTTAATCTTAATCGACAAATTTATTATATGATTATGATAGATTGTTACAGACAGTGTGTGAGTAGACAGTGTGTGAGTAGTTTTGTGTTATACAACTAATTGTTACTACTTATTTCGTAAGCTTTCGTTAAAATAAGTTTTACAAAAACTATAACTAATAAATAAATTGCGTGTATTTTAGTTAAAGATCAAAAATATAGATTTATACGAGAAATGGTCAGTGGTAATGTGTCATTGAGGCGTACCATAAGAAATAATTGTACCTTGTACAATTTTTTTTTAATTTTTATTATTTTTTTTTTTAAATTTAAATTTTTATTTTTATTTTCTTAATACAATTATTTCAGACATCAGTGGCGGTTTTGGGGGTGAGACAAGTGAGGCGGTGCCTCATCCAAAAATTTTGGATACAGAATAACATATGTTGCATTAAAACAATTAGTTATTATTAAATTACTTTTTTATTTCTTTCATTTGTATAATTTATTATTAACAGTTAGAATTCTATCATAGTAAAATGACGAGGAAAAAAAAATTATATTTTAATATAAAAATTATTTTGTAGTATCAGTTAATGCGGGAGTACGGCCGTACGAGAACGGTACAATATAGGTTGTGACAGGCTAAACGTCACGATTTTTTTGTCCAGCGGTCGGCTGGTCTTATAACTTTCCGACCGTACCTGTAAGAGCGATCCGCTGCCGGTGCTTCTTATGTGCTGGTATATTTAGTATTACTAAATTATACGTAACCCGCACTGTACGCATAGCACATGCACTCCATAGGCGACGATTGAGGCGGCATATAAACATTGGCTCTGTGTTTCAGCCGAAGAAAATACACATAGGTATTTAATTGTTGAATTATCATCAGTATCAGCGACACTGCGTCAAAATCAGATAAACGATATAAAATAATTACAACCATAGGAGTCTTTGATTTGTATTTCATATTTTCGTTTATCAGTGCTGTCACAATTCAACTGATCAGTAATCACTTTTATTTTGTATTTGTCGACTCATAGACTGTAGTACTTCTGTAGTCTCGTATTCGCACAAATATGTATAATATTATTTATATTATAATATTGTATATATATATATTATATACGAGTATGTGCGTATTTGTGTGTATATTATATAACAATGTACGAAAAGAACCTCTACGTAGTATATTCTAGGCAATTGCAACAGTAGAAATTTAAAGCTGCTACTGGTTAATCTTTTCAGCGAGTTAAATATTTTTATATATAAATTTGTGTTTTTATTTCTAAATGTATGTAAACATTTAGTCGCCTCACTCAAAATTGAACCCTAAAACCGCCACTAGTACCAAGAGAAATAATTGTACATTGGGAGAAATTACTACAATAGTGAAATAAATCGTATGGAATATGTAAAAAAAATTGGATTAAAAATCAACTAATTAATTAAAATTATATTTATTTGTATGTATAATATCGACAATTTTTTATAAAATTGAAATATCAAACGAGACTTTTGGCGCTTATATTATATTATGTTGGGTATAACAGGTACGAGTATATAATATTAGATTGGCGCTTACGTTCTATACACATTTTGACGTAAGTGATATGTAATTTTAGTACCTTTAGCACTTATGTCATACAGCAGTATCAACGTTATTAAATGTCAATTAATTAAAAATCACAGGTAACTTGATATTATTAGAAAAGAGAACATTAATTTTATATTCTTTTTTTAATATCCAACTTATATTCTTTAAAAGTCAAACAACGCAATCGTGCAATATTCGAGTAGCAAGGCATCGAGGTCATTATGAAAATAAACTCTATATGTCACAAAAATCAAGCTAAGAACGTGGAAATCAGTTAAAAGTGTATAATATAATGAAAACGTTGTTTCTGAAGCTATATACCAAATCAAGCGTTGATTGTTAAAGTGGTCACCTTAAATTTGCCCGAAAATAGTGGAACCTTTAAGCAGTGATTCATGTTTTGTAATATTATTGAACATAGCAATAGATAATGCTGAACCAAATTAATTAAGTTTTTGTTTGGTTCAAATCCATACACCATAATAATCGCCAAAAGTAAAGTTAATCTTTTGAAGCTTTTTAAAAGCTATTAATAAAGGTTGAAGAGTTTCAATCTAAACAAATTTTAATAAGTTGATATTACAGAAATGTATCGTAATAAATAAAACAAAATAATATGTTTACCAAATTTTTAAACCGTTGCCATATTAGTACCACTTATTTTAAAGTCATTATTGATTTGATGGTGATATTACATTTTAAATAATAATTGTAGTTAATAAAATATCTAAATCATAAGATTAAAACTGCTTGCAGGTCATCGGTTCTAATATTTTATGAAACACATATTAAAACACAAACACAGAAGTGGTTAATAAAAAATTGTATGAGTTAGATTTGGGAAATCTTCAACCACAGTAGTTGGGATTAAAAATAATTATTAAAACTATTATGCATCATATAAACATTCTGGAAATAGTTCTCAAAATTTCATCACATGGATTAGAGCTTTTGAATATACTTTTTTATCACGACTTATCATAATGTTAATGTTTGGATTCTCCACTTTCCAGTATTGTCTCACAAATGCTATGTGACCCACGGGTTGCACAAGTAACATGTTTCACATATTAAAACATAATAGTTTATGAATAGATTAATTTCACCATGGCATATTGTGCAGCTGAATCAGTTAAAAATAAAAAAAAAAACCTTATTGCGTTTTATCCCTTTTGGCCAAAGCATATTTAAAGCATCGTCAAACAATTTGTCTACAATTTAATCATTGTATATAAAACGTTTTTCGTATGTTATAATATATGAGACTTGGACATTCGTTAACTTAAAAAAAAGACCAAACTAAAATCATAAGATAAAATCTTTTCGCCAACGTTTGTACAAAAAATGAAATGTATAATATATGGATCCATTTCTATTTTTTCACAAACAATGTCAATTACTTCATTGGGAAAAATTGATACACATTCTTTATCAATTAAAGATTGATCTGTAATTTGATTACAGACATAGTTTTCAAAAATAGTAATATAAAATAGTAATATAAAAGAAGCTAAAAAGATATAGGTAAAACAAAAGATAATTATAATTCTAACTTCTAAGTTAATAACTTTAAATGAGTATTTTGTTTCATTTTTGCTTTCCTTCTTGAATTACTGAGATAGAAAATATTATTATAAAAAAATGTGTATGATATTTCGGTACATAATACTTTATTATTAAAATGGAATGCAACTTATCCATTAATAAAACGTATAATGGAAAAAATGTATATTCCCCCGAAAAAAAAATATTTTGTATATTATTGTAATTTCGTATTGACACAACTTTAGAACTGTACTAATAACGCCTAGTCGTATATGATTTAATATAATATTATTAGCGATTGGCTAAATTATTTATTTATATAAATATATATTACTCTATTCTATTGTTTATTATAGTTATTACCTTATTAGTCATGACAACTGATATTATTTATTACAATACATTCCTGATTTGATTTTATCTTATATTTTATAAGCATTATATTTTTTTATTACTACAACGAATATAAACGCATTTTAATAAAACCGATCTGATACTTTATAATATTAATATTATTAGTTTATTCTATTATATAGTATTTTCGATTCATTAACATTGAACATGATTTCTTACAACTTTGTTGAAACTCTAAAGGCGTTTTGTAAGTATAGAATATTTTGTATAATCTTTAATGTATAATATGAAACTATACAGTGGCGCTAGTATCATAAAAATCCCGATAAATGGATAAGCCTACTCGCTAACAATGTCTCTTTTACGAACTGTTTTGAATGTACTGCGAGCAAAATTAAGGACTATTATAGGCTCACCGTGACACCGCGATTTGACGCCGCTGTATTTTATTCGTAGAATGAAAAAATTAATACATCGTTTTGTTTTTAGTCCATTCTCCAAGACGCGTCTTCTCGCTGATCGTGGTACTAATGGTTATCAACTTTTCATACAATAGTTATACCATAAGTGAGTGAAATACGGACAAACGAGCCGTTTTGAAAGACAATGAATGTTTATTGTTAATATACTACTCTGCATTTTAGATAAATCAAGAGTGATTAACGAGAAACAACTAAAAATATGTAACGGATTTGACAATCATCGGTGCGAAAACGGAGGACTATTAGAATACAGTGAGGCGATGGGTTTCACGTGCGTGTGTACTCACGGCTACATTGGGGAAACCTGCGAGAAGGGTGCGTATATTTATTGTACACTTGAGTGGTATAAATAATATCAGATTCTACGTACATTATGCAATTATATAAGAATTTATGGGGACTTGATTCATTAAATTTCATGATAATACTTTAAATTCACAGCAAAACCCATCACGTTCATAGAAATTATATTGTCGTGGATTCAACAATCGAACGTAAACTCGGGCAAACCAGCGAACTGGTGGCGTATCTTTCCTTTTAGTTCAGGGCGTCAGTTGGCAAACGTTTACGCTTGTAAGTAATACAATAATGTAAAAGATTAGGTTGGTTTTGGCTTAACTTTTAATAATATTATAACAAGAAAAATTTTACATAATATTTATATTTTTAAATATTAATTCTTTAATTTTAAGATATTACTATGTTAAATTTACGAGTACATAATATATTCAAAACAAACGTCATTCAACTATCCAATTAATATGATACAAAATAAATAGTACTTACTCATTAAAACGCAGTTGAACATTATGGTATAATAGAAGCAATAACTTAAGTTCAATCCTAATTAGCGTATTGATTTTAATTTCAGGTATACTTAAAACATTTAAAAACAGATTTAATACGTAATAGAAAACACCCCTCACATAATAGTAATCTATTATATTACCAAAATAATTGTGTCTTGTATTGAAGACATGTCTTTCATATTTTATTTAAATTATAGCTACAATAATCGCATAATTAATTTATTATTTTTATTTTTTTAGACCATCAAAATGTATTGAAAAGTTTAGAAGAGGCATACTATGTTACCGGAAACAATACAAACAGACACAACATTGACGGAAGAATATTACCCCGTTCGCGTCCATTGATGTGTCCAAACAACAGTAAATATTCTCTCACTACATTAATAATCTAAAATAAACTTAATGATCGCATAAACATAATATAGACCCGAATAAGAGTGTTATTGTCTTTTAAAACGTATTCGGACTCAGTTATTGATTTTTTACTTTTTTCAGGCAATTTACCACCACTTAATATATTGTACTCCAAAGTTTTTGAACGCAAATCTGGTCAGTTCCAACCGGATTTACAAAACCGCAATTTACTATTTCAAGCCTTCTATCAATACTTTATTTTACAATTTTTCGATTCTGATTCCAAATTAACGGTTTGTAACACAACAATATCATATACAACATATACATTAAAAACAGTGGTGAATTGGCAAATATATTAGTGGAGCGGTGGTATACGTACTATTAAAATATGTATATTCAACCCAAATTTTTTTTTCTTTCTGCGCTCGAATATTTTTTTTTTCACTATTCTTTATGCTAGAAAACATTGTATCATCACAATATTAACAATTCAAAACAGTTAAACATTTTTAAATAAAATTTTTTTTGGTATTCTTACAATTCATAGTTTTATAATAAATTAATAAATAAGTATATCTCAACCTATACACATAAGGAAAAACAACAATTCCATTTTGTAAATTCATAACGAATGCTCTAGCAGTCAACAATTAAATCTATAAAGTAATACATGATATTTAGGTACTCTTTGGAAATATAAACTTTTTTTTTAAATTAGTACCTATTTATCCTTTTTACTGTAAATTGTTATAAACAGATGATTCTTTTTAAAATTGTATTTTAATAAATGCATATATCAATGTATCTTTGTCGATAATTCAAATTATTAGTTTCTAATTTACTAAACTGAATGCTTTATAAAGATAATACAGCCTATACCTATTGATAAATAAAGAAAATAGTTCATTAAAACATTCTAACAATTTTTTCCTATGAACTAAAAAAGAAATTTTATTTAGTTTTCGAGTTATTTTAAGACAGTATACCCATAAATTGATATTTTACGTTGGATATACGCTAAAAATCTGCTGATTAGCTTACTGCGTATACCCGTGTATCCATACCAATATACCACTGCAGGTTAAAAAGAATACCATAAGCAATAAATTCACGTTGTGTTTTTATTGTCTACAACCATAGATAACGGCATCCCAATTATATGGCAGAGACAAAGCGTCGGAAAGATCATTAAGGTCGTTTTCTGATGGTAAACTCAAAACACTATACTTTAAAAAGGAACACTATGCGCTGTTCAAGACGCCCATTTCACACTCAAACGTATACCTAAAGGAATATCTGGATTCGACGTTCGTTTCATCGAATAGCATTTTGACCATGGTAAGTGACTTTATTTGAATTTTTTTATTAATCCAATTAAAATTATCCTTAATTTTTTTTTAAATATTTATAGAATAGCTGTTTTAATATTATACTGATGGATTATTATATTTAAAAAAACCTTTAACGGTTCTAAAATGTTTAATATAGCTTTATTAAATATTTAAAATAATTTTCAAAATTAACAATATTTTAAGATTTAGTGAGTGATAAGTAAAAACTGTAAAAAAAAAATCACTGATCATCATTTTTTACTTTTTTTTTTATGGAAATAGTTCAAGGGAATTTGGAAATCGAAAATTTTAAATCCAAGTCCGATGCTTTTTGTCGTTTCGACGATTTGGGTTCGGGAACATAATCGTGTTTGTGATATGTTGTTACGAATGCCGTTGCCTAAATGGACCGATGAACAAATCTACAGGACAGCCAGGAGAATCGTCACCGGCCAAATGATGTCAGTAATGATAAATGAAATTCTATACTTGTACACTGGACAGGCGTATCCGTTAAAGCTCAGACCAGAAGTTTATAAGCACCGAATCCAAAACATTAATAGTTCCAACACGCCAATTGAACTTATTTTAATGATGGCTGTTTCCAGTCTACCGGAGCAATTTAACGGGAATCCTATAGGTTCATTGTTTTTTGGTGACAACGGGTAAGTTCGCAACTTTTATTGGAAAAATTCGCTATTAGAAATACATTTATTCGCCGATTTTTGCAGGATGTAGGTACTCATGTAATTAATATTTTGTAAAGATCATTAGGATATATTTATGTTTTAAATAAAATATTGTTTAAACTGTTTAAAAAACTAGTGGGCTTTGTTTAAAACAGGTACATTATATTAGAACAAAAAAGTTATTTTAAAATATAACAATTACACCATAGGCAAAGTGTTCAAGAATTAAATTAAATATATCATATGCAATATTCTACACTCGGAATACTATATACGATCCTATATGAACCATATAATTTGTAGTTACAATATCATCATTGTTAAAATATTCAAATAAATAATATAATTCGTCAGTAAACTTTAAGAAATGTATATGTTTTCTTTGCTTATTGCGTAATAAACTTCAAATTAAGTTAATAATAAAATTAACGCCGAATAGAAATCTTTTTAGTATAAAACCTACATTTGAGTTTTTAGAAGGAGTTTAAGTGGGCTAGAACAGGTGCTCCAAGTCACATGGATTAAAACGATTTCGATGCAATATAAATAATAAATATATATATCTTTATATTTATTTATCTTGTAAGTATTCAAATTAATCTGTAAATAATTTTAGACAAGTGTTGGACGGAGGTTTAAAAAATACGTTACAATTTATGGTCAGTCAACCTATGGGTAAGGTAACAGCTCACAACGACGGACCGACGACGAAACCGTTGACTGAGTTTTTGTTGAAGTTGTCCCGAGAACACGCTGTACAGAGTTTTAATAATTATCGGAGACGATTTGGGCTACCTGCATATGATAGTTTTTATCAGTTGACCAAAAACTGGAAAACCGCTAATGAATTGAAAAATTTGTACAAAAGCGTCGATGACGTAGAGCTGTTAACTGGCATGTTAACAGAAAGTTCGAGAAGCGATTCGCTACCCACCTCTACAATCATGACACAGAGTTTTATTATTAATGCTATTTTAGTCAATAACCTTACGAACGATGTTTCATGGAATAAAGATACATATGGAGGAAAGCATATGTTTGACATGGTTAAGAAAACTACGTTGAAGACTTTAGTGTGTCGAAATTTGGACGGATGTGGCAACGGTTAAATGTCGGTCTTTACGCAAGATATAGGTATGCATAAAACGATAGTATTTTAAGTCTTCCGTTTAAACATCAGTTTAACAGCCAGGACACAGGTATATTAATTTAAATAATATTTTTCAGTTTTACGTGTGTACTCTTGGCGATTAGACGTACAGTGCCTCAACCCCCTGCCTTATCTTAGTAATTAAGCTAATCAAAATCATCGCTATCCAAGTAATATGAATATTTTAATTTACCTAATCTACCCTAATCTACATATTGTCATCACACGCCCAGGTGTGTAAAATGTGGTGATACTCTCTGTTGCCGCCGTACCATAATATAATAATAGAAAATATTATGGATTACGGAGGAACAGCCGATCGACACACACACAAACACTCTCGCGCACCGGCCGTTATTTTTATATTTATTTTTGTTTTAATTATTTTTTGTGTCTTGTGAATTATATAATATGCAAATAAGGTATTTCGCGCGTTATCTGCTGCCGCCGGTTCGCTGGTATGCGTAGCTTAACTCGGCCGCCGCAATTTTTGTCTTTCTCCGCCCGTCGTCGCAGTATGTCCGCCGTGAATAATATTTTATAATATCACCTATACTGATCATTTTTGTTTTATATTATAGTTACACAGTTCGATATTTTATATTATTATTGCAATTCGTGCTGGCGCTAATCGTCAATTTTATATATTACGTATTATACTCGATATACATGTTATTGTATCACATTGCGTGGGCGCTAATTGACATGTTAATATTCAATTACAGTAGAACCCCTCTCATCCACCCTCGGCTTGTCCGGCGCTCCGGTTGATCCGACCATAGTATAATCGATATGAATGGTATGTCATTTAAAAATAAAATTTGGATTTTCTACTTTATAGAAGATGATTTTATATAAAATTAATTGCTAGTTAAATATTTCCCTTATCGCTTGTCCGCTTTTTTACTCCGGCCTTTCTCGTATCGTTTCTATCGTTGTGAGTATTTTAGAATATTGCAGTTAAGTCTAGAATATCATTTGCTAAACGAAAATCTATTACTGACTTTTTTCCTAGGTAATCTAAAATATAATACATTTCTGATATAAACTTATAATATGTAAATAAAAAAATGTTCTGTATATTCTGATAATCCAACTTTTATCGTATTCCAACCACACCACCAGTCCTGAAGGTGACGGATTAGAGAGGTTTTACTGTATTATTATATTTTATTTGGTGTTACAATTTATTGCCTTCTTACTATTGATTTAGTTTATTGATTTATTGTATTTATCAAAAATGTGCTGCATATTGTATTATATTTCTTTGGTTAACAAGTGGATTATAGGCATAAGTAGCAGCTGGCCAACAGTGCACCGACAAGCCGTGGGTTTTTTTATTGTTATTTATTTATTATTATTATATTATTATGTATTGTTAATATTTATTTTGTTGAGCCAAAGGGCTATATATTTTTTTATGTCAATTATCTGAGCTTTCAGCTCTAATAGCTGTTTTTATATATTATAATCGTATTATTGAGCCAGAAGGGTCTTAACTACCTGTTATTATTTATCTTATATCTTAAACTTATATACTTATATTTTATTCTGTTTAGCCATAAGGGCTACGCAATTTTTAGCATTTAATTATTATTATATTTTTCTATTTATGTGATTTATTTATATGATTTTTATTATATCTGGTAGTTTCGAACCGGCATTTTGGTTAGAAATTTTTTTATACTATATACATGTTTACTTGTTGCAGGGCCAAAAGGGCTGTATCTTATTATATCATAATTTATACCATATTATGCTGGTCATCCAGCATCTTATAAAGAATTCCCCAAGTTCACACTTCTCCAGAAAGAACGAAATTCAAACAATACCAGTAGGTCAACTGAAACTCAAGACATCACCTCAACTTCAATCAAAATCAACATCATCCAAGAAAATGATTTTCCCTACTTTGTCAACCACGATGAAGTACCTCTCAGTCTACCTCAAAACCACTCCCAAATATTCACTCCCACCCTAAAAAACCATAATATTGTAGATCCCTGTGAAAATCCAAATACCGACTCCGTTACAATCAAATTAACTAATTTCCTAGTCCAATTTCAATCCCTAATAAGCCATCTGACCAGAAATAACTAAAAATTAAAATTCATTAAAAAAAAAAATAATAATATTTTTCTATTATTTCAAGTGTATTTTTTTTTCACGTTATTCGCGGATCGCAAATTTTTAATATTTTATTATTTAAATTCTGTTTATCACAGCTTTTCATTATAAAACGACCCCAAAAATTACTAATGTTATTTTTTTACGTTAGCAATAAACAACGCGAGTTTCTTTTATCATCACGTATATTATCGTGATTTTTATGATGTGTTTAAAATATTGGATTTTATATAGCGATATCTTAAATATTTGTACTGACAAGTGTTGGTAATCCATTATATTCACTAAAATATTGTGAGAAGTTATGTTTAATTAAATTGTTATTTTTTTAAACGAGTTAAAATAGCTGAAAAACTACAATTTTATTTATTTTTATTTTTATTTTGTTGTTGAGTCAGAATATCTAATTATTACCAGTCCAGTGAGTTATTACTTATTATTATTCGAACCAATATCACAAATTATTTCCAACAAAGTTTATTTTCGTGTTTTTAAACTTATTACACCTTCGATGTTATAAAAATAGATCACCACAGCTATGAGCTATCTATTGAACATGTGTTAAGTCAATCGTGGGTTTTACTTTAACCACTAAACTTTCTGAATTTAATGAAAAACAATCTGATGCATAAGAAATTACAGAAAATGTGTAGAAATTTTCAGCTCAATATGTTAAATTTTTTATAACTCAAATCTCAATAGTTATTTTATAGGTTGGGTGATATTTTGTGAATATTATTATACATACTAAGTGTTTATACAAGAAGAGAAGAAGTTATTTTTAAATATTTAGGAGAGTTGGGAAAAATAACTGTAACGCAACAGAATTTAGGCCTAATAAATACTTTAAAATTAAATTTATTATAGTATAAATGCTTTATATCATACATTAATACAGGTAATTAATTTTATCCTAGCGATATTTTATTCACTTATTCCTCTATTTTTACTTATTCAACTCGTTTAAAATATTAACAATAAAATAATAACACATTAACACAGCTGTTCACGATATTGCAGTGAGTGCAATGACTTTGCAACACTTAAAAGTATCAAAGTATTATTAATATATCGATCTATAAAATTCGTTATCATAAATATATTATATAACAAATCAGAAAAAATACTATATGTGACATTAAAAAACTCCGCAGTGGTTAGTGCTGGTGTATAATAATAACATAGGTGATTCGCGATCACAATATTACATTTGAGAACTGAATCAAACAAAATTAAAATGATTAAATACTAAAATTTCAAGATTTACGTACATTTGGTGTAAAATGTTATTAAAAGACGAGAAAAATATACAACATTTTAAATACTACAAAAATAAAATATTAACCATACTTTTAACATACAAATTCTCAGACAGGCCTTTTTAGCCATCTGTCATTTTACTGATTATTGCAACCGATGTATCGACAAGATCAATGTCATGATCACCCAATTTTTATAAATATGTTTTAATTCAATATAAATAATAATTAATAAACATATAACATTATTAAATAAAAAAAACCTTTTCTGTGGCGGCGATTTGTGCTGATATATAATATTAATGTTGGTTATTCACGGTTCGCAATATTATAACGAAGATATAATAATAGGTACATTTTTTTTAGATGATTTTTTTAGGCCACTTATACCTACCATTATTGTTACGAATAACTCTCTTTTTAGCTAATTTTTATATTATTTTTGTTATAACAAATCTATAAATCCTTTTGTAAAATATTATTATCTTAAACTGACAATAAATTTTTTAGTTTTTAATTTATAGTCATCTATATCTATATGTAATACTATTGGTTATCATTCAATCATGTGGTGATACTTAGAACCTGAAAGGAATTGCTTTTCTCTTTAAAGCATTTATTTTATCGGTTGGAGAACATAATTAGAATAATATCATTTATTGATTTATTAATCATCCAACAGTAAACAAAAATGTTTAAATAATACGAGATTATATTAAACTTAATTATTCAAAACGCATTGTATAAACGTTAAATGGCATTATTAAACTAATTTTAAAACTAACGGGACCTATTTTGGGAAGAAAATAATACTTTCCAAAATGCTAAACGTAAAATCGTGGGCGAAAAGAAAGTAATTAATCGTAGATGAAAAGAGGAAAATACTTTATCAGATATTTTAGTTAGAAAGATTTTCGCTGACAGTGTCACTTAATAGGAAGGTTATATAGTTAATATTTGCAATGCTCAAACAACTAACCAATTATTATTAATATGATGTTTTGTGACAGCTTTAGTATTTGTAATTTTGCTCCATATCTAATTATTAATTTTGGTAATTTACTCAGCACTTTTAAAATACATTACATTAACAAATTTACAAGTATTATTGTAACCTTTAAAATTTTTATAGTTATTTTTTTTTAATCTTAGGTACAAATTACATCCAAACAATTATTACCCGGGAATTAACGATATGAAATGACGAACTTATTTGATATTATACTCTATTGGTCTATTGTATTAACTATTTATATTCTGTTAGATAAAACAAAGGACATACAATTATTCATTCATGAATTACTTACATATTATCTCTGCTTTACTTCGTGAAAATCCTCGTGAAAAATTCAAAAGAATTTAACACCGTAATTTATTCATTTGATTAATTTTTTTTTTTTATATATTAATCTCAACCTCAATATATCTACGTTCAGGTATGCTTAATAACATACATTTTTATTCCTTTTTTATTACTTAATAATCGCCGTGTATAATATTATATAATGCCAGGCCCGTACTGGCGATATCTAAAGGACGCTGGAAAATATATATTTATAGGGCCGCTAACTAT